GTAGATTTCAAAATAAAGACCAATTAGAGACAGAGAAGGCCACTACATAATATTGAAAGGACCTATCCAATAGGAAGATATAACCTTGGTTATATCTATGCACCCAATATAGGAGCACCAACATATATTAAAAATCTTCTGGAGGACTTCAAAGGAGAAATCAACAGCAATACAATCATAGCAGGGGACTTCAACACCCCACTGACATCACTGGATAGATCCTCTAAACAAAAAATTAACAAGGAAACACAGACTCTAAATGAAGCGCTAGATCAAATGGATTTAATAGATATCTATAGAGAATTACACCCCAAAACTGCAGAATTCACATTCTTCTCAAGTGCACATGGAACATTCTCAAAGAAAGACCACATGTTAGGACACAAACTAAGTCTCTACAAGTTCAAGAAGATTGAAATCATATCAAGCATCTTTTCAGAAAACAATGGCATGAAACTAGAAATCAATTGCAACAAGAACATGCAAAGACATTTGAAAACATGGAGGTTAAATAGCAATGAATGGGTTACCATGGAAATCAAGGAAGAAATTTAAAAATTCCTGGAAACCAATGAAAATGAACACACAACAACACAAAATCTATGGGATGCAGCAAAAGCAGTTCTGAGTGGGAAGTTCATAGCACTACAGGCCTACCTCAAGAAACACAAAAAATTCCTAATAGACTATCTAACCTCATAACTTAAAGAACTAGAAAGCAAAAAAAAAAAGAAAATACCAGAGCAAGTAGAAGGAAGAAAACAGTAAAGATCAGAGCAGAAATAAATGACATGGAGACCAAAAAAAAACAAATCAAAGGATCAATGAAACAAAGAGCTGGTTCTTTGAAAAGATAAACAAGATTGATGGACCCGTAGCGAGACTCACCAAGAAACAAAGAGAGAGAACCCAAATGCACAAAATCAGAAATGAAAGACGAGAAATAATAACTGACACCACAGAAATACAAAGGATCGTTAACAAATATTATGAACAATTATACAGCAACAAATTCGACAATCAAAGCGAAATGGACAAATTTCTAGAAACACAGTCTCCCAAAACTGAACCAGAAAGAGATAGAAAACTTGAACAGACCAATAACAACAAAAGAAATTGAAGATGTAATCAAGACTCTCCCAGCAAACAAAAGCCCAGACCCGGTCGGCTTCATGGGGGAATTTTGCTGAACATTCAAAGAAGAACTAATACCCATTCACCTCAAACTATTGCAAAAAAATTCAAGAAGAAGGAAGACTTCCAAATGCGTTTTATGAGGCCCACATAATTCTAATTCCAAAACCAGAAAAAGACCCTCAAAGAAAGAAAACTACAGGCCAATATCCCTGATGAACATAGACGCCAAAATCCTGAACAAAATACTAGCAAATCGAACCCAGCAATACACCAAAAAAATTATTCACCATGACCAAGTGGGATTCATCCCAGGAATGCAAGGCTGGTACAATATTTGCAAATCAATAAACGTGATACACCACATAAACAAAATAAAAGATAAAAATCATATGATCATATCAATAGATGCTGAAAAAGCATTCGACAAAATCCAGCATACATTTCTGATAAAAACGCTCAGCAATGTGGGAATAGAGGGATCATATCTCGACATAATAAAGACCATATATGAAAGACCTATAGCCAACATCATACTCAATGGGCAAAAACTAAAAACATTTCCCTTAAGAACAGGAACAAGACAAGGATGCCCACTTTCACCACTCTTATTTAACATAGTACTAGAAGTCTTAGCCACGGCAATCAGACAGGAAGAAAAAATAAAGGGGATCCAAATTGGACAGGAGGAAGTGAAACTGTCATTATTCGCAGATGACATGATACTATATGTAGAAAACCCCAAGACTCCATCAAAAATCTACTAGGCTTAATAAATGAATTTGGCAAAGTAGCAGGATACAAAATTAACGTCAAGAAATAGACGGCATTCTTATACAGCAATGATGAAGTCACAGAAAGAAAAACTGAAAAAACAATCCCATTTACCAATCCCATTTACCATCGCAGCAAAAAAATTAAGGTACCTAGGAATAAACTTAACCAAAGAAATAAAGGACCTATTCGCAGAAAACTACAGGTCATTGAAAAAAGAAATAGAGGAAGTTATAAAAAAGTGGAAGCACATACCTTGTTCATGGATTGGAAGAATTAACATAATTAAAATGTCCATCCTACCCAAAGCAATCTATAGATTCAACGCAATCCCCATCAAAATACCAACGACATACTTCACAGAACTAGAACAAATACTTCAAAAGTTCATATGGAACCAAAAAAGACCCCGAATAGCCACAGCTATCTTGAAAAACAAGAACAAAGTTGGAGAGATCACATTATCAGATTTCAGGTTATACTACAAAGCCACTGTAATCAGAACAGCCTGGTACTGGCACAAGAACAGGCAGATCGATCAATGGAATAGAATCGAGAACCCAGAAATAGACCCAAGACAATATGCTCAATTAATATTTGACAAAGGTGGCAAGAGCATACAGTGGAGTAAAGACAGCCTCTTTAATAAATGGTGTTGGGAAAATTGGACAGGTACATACAAAAAAATGAAACTTGACCATTAACTTACACCCTACACAAGAATAAATTCAAAATGAATAAAAGACTTAAATGTGACTCATGAATCCATAAAAATCCTAGAAGAAAATGTAGGCAACAAAATTTCAGGCATCATACACAGCAGAATTTTCACTGATACATCACCTAAGGCAACAGAAACAAAGGAGAAAATGGACACATGGGACTACATCAAACTCAAAAGCTTCTGCACAGCAAAAAAAAAAAAAAAAAAGGAAAGGTAACCCACTGTATGGGAGAGCATAATTGCCAATGATACATCAGATAAGGGGTTAATTTCCAATATAGAGAGAGTGCTCATACAGCTCAACAAAAAGAGGACAAAGAACCCAATTAAAAAATGGGCAGAGGAACTAAATAGACACCTCTCCAAACAGGACATACAAATGGCTAAGAGGCATATGAAGAAATACTCAACATCACTAATCATCAGAGATGCAAATTAAAACAACAATGAGGTATCACCTCACACCTGTGAGAATGGCTGCCATCAACAAATCATCAAACAACAAGTGTTGGCGAGGGTGTGGAGAAAAGGGGACTCTAGTACAGTGCTGGTGGGAATGCAGACTGGTGCAGCCTCTATGGAAAACAATGTGGTATTACCTCAAAAAATTAAAAATGGAACTTCCATTTGACCCAGTGATCCCACTTCTAGGAATATACCCTAAGAAGCCTGGAACACCAATCAGGAAGAATATATGTACCCCCATGTTCATAGCAGCACTATTTACAATAGCTAAGATCTGGAAACAGCCCAAGTGTCCATCAGTAGAAGAATGGATAAAAAAGCTGTGGTACATATACACAATGGAGTACTATGCAGCGGTAAGAAGGAAAGATCTCTTATCCTTTGAGACGACATGGAGGGACCTGAAAAGTATTATCCTAAGTGAAATAAGCCAAGTGGAAAAAGACAAATACCACATGATCTCACTTACATATGGAATATAATAAACATAACAGTCTGAGGAATACGGTAGACCCAGAAACATGGAAGTAGGGTACAGACTGACATCCCTCAGAAGAGGGGGTGGAAGGGTGGGAAGAGATAAACCACAGAACTTATATGCATGTATGCATGATCAATGGACATGGACAACTAAGCCAGGACGGACGGGGAGGGTGGGGAAGGGAGAAACACCTGTAACAAAAATAAATTAATTAATTACATTAAAAAAAACAAACTCTTACAACATTGGTAGTCACCATAGAGCTATGAAAGTGTTAGTTTTTATTATGGGATTCAAATCACTGTACTCACTCTGATGAGATGAATCAAAATCCGGTCCCTATCCACGAAGAGAGAGGGAGGCACATACAAATGTACTAGTCACCGCACAATGAGATCAGGCTAGAGCCCTGTACAAGCAAGACTCTGGGGCCCATTGGTAGAAAAGCAACCCGAAAAGGTGGAACTGAACTTGAAAATCTCGATAGTGATTGGAGTTGATAGGACAAAGGCATTGGAGTGATGAGTTTGAAGAGAGTGAATCCAGAAGTCACAGGAGCAACCGCATTTGAACTGAGTTCCAGGAATCAGTGGGACTTCAACCGGCGGCTCGTAACAATGAGGGTGACCGCAAGGGACTTAGCAAAGGCACAGAGACTAAAATCGAGTCGCTTGCTCTCTAGGACACCAGAAATGCGGACAGGATGGACAAAGGTGGGTAGAGGATGCAGAAGAAACCTTGCGAACAGAAGTGGTCGCAGAGTGTCACGCAAAATGCCACGAGCCGAGAACGGAATGATAAAGATAATAAGAGTAACAAAACAACAGGACACCTCAAGGTACTCGACTGCAGAAAGAACGAACACGGGTGTCGTTAAGACAGCCAGGACCGCCAGGACCACCACGACCCAGTCGCTCGCCACTATCCCCGGCGCGCCAGCACTGAGAGCGAGACGCCAGGCCAGCACACCGCGAAGCAGCGCCCCTCGCAGGCGGCGAATGGGCCGGGAAGCACCGCGAGGAGGAGACCGGGAGCGAGAACTACAACTCCCACCGCGGCCTGGAGCCCAGGCCCCCTTCCGTATTTCCGCGTCCGCCGCGCTCTTCAATCCCACCCACCCGGAGCGGGCGGCCGTGTGATCGCGCGTGACCACGCGTGACGGGCGCCCCCCGAGCCGAAGGCCGGAGGCGGGAGTCTGGGGCCCATTGGTAGAAAAGCAACCCGAAAAGGTGGAACTAAACTTGAAAATCTCGATCGTGATTGGAGTCGATAGGACAAGGGCGGAACCTAACGCCCACGATACTGCCCAATCAGCGTCCAGATCCGGGAAGGGACAGGGGGTGAGATGCTTCTGCGGTCACATGCCGCGGGGTCTAGTGGGAGGAGCAGTTGCCCAGCGGCCGCCCGGCGCTTCCTGTTTCCGGTTCCCGGAGTGGAGGTCCGCGAGGCACCGCGGGGAACGCTGGCTGTGACACGAGCTCTGGGAGGGGGTCTGCGGCTGGCCCCTTGCTGGCGCTGTCTCCCAACCCAGACAGGTACTCGCCCTGGGAGTCTGAACCTTAGCTACTCCCTGTGCCCGACACGTGAGTATGTGGGGCTGGAGAGCGCTCACACCTGGGCGTCTGTGACAGCGGCCGGGATCGTTAAGTCTCCCTTGTCCGGGGTTCTAGCCAAAAATACAGCTCAGGAGCTCTAGAGCAGAATGGAGGCGTGGGCGGGAGGGCAGGAGTCAGAGCCCGAAGGGAGTGAGGAGAAAGGACCCTCAGGACCGGAGAGGGGATTTACGAGTGTTTGGAAGGCAGGGAAAGGAAGGTCCCTGGGTATGGAGTGCGTTTCAGGTGTTACTTAGTATCTTAGGAGGAATTTTGGCCTGCATCGTGCAGGCAGGTAAAGTAGCATCATTTGGAGAAAGTATGGCCCTAAGCAGTTGGAAAGTTGGGAGGCTACATTTCTAGAACCCTGGAAGAAGTTTGAGGGGGAATAAGTGGATGGTGTGGAGAAGAATAGCCAATAGAGGGGTTATTCTTGTGTTCCTCTTTGTAGGGAGCTTCTGCCCTCGGGACATAGAGCTACAGATACTTCTCTGAGGCTTTCAACACTGGGCCTTTTAACTAAAAGTGTAGGTTGCTGGAGACAGGAGAGAAGGGCTGCCGCATCAGTAATGAGCCAGAGAAAAGACAGTGGGGATTTCATTGAAAAATGGAAAATACTCATGGCTGGTCTTGAGGGGTGGGGAAGAGAGGGGTACAGAGACCCGGTGATGTAAATTGCTTTCCATTTCCTGGCTTAGTTATTGGTCATCCCACTGAAGGAGAATGTTTTAGCATTACCAAATAGATCTGTCATACAAAGAGAAAATTGAAGAGAATTTTTCAGAATCTGTCCTGCCCCTGTATTTCCAAAATATCGAGACAAACACTTTGCACCTTGAGAATCTAATTGTAGCACATTAAAAAGGGACTACCCAGCCCTTGGATTTCATACCATTCCTAATACATTTTTGCACCCCTGTATTTATCAGAAAATTTCCAGCAACTATCTTCATGCCATGAGTTGTCCAAGTTACCCCAATTACTTTGTATGTACTTAATACTTGTGTAACCTAACTAACCTCTGTAAGCCATTTCCTCATTTGTAAAGTGGGAGAAATTATATCTGTATTTTCTGGGTTGTGAAGATTAAGGAACATAATCTAGATAAAGCACTCAGAGCATGTGCCACTGAATCAACAAAGAGAAGCAGCTCAAGCATGTAGTCAAACCTTAAGGAAGAAAGAGAGCATATAAATTGATTCTCATCCTAGCTTTTTGAACCACTAAGCAAATGAAAGCTAGTTCAACTCAACTAGCGCTGACTGCAGGGTGTTTAGCCTTTCATCCTTTCCCAGTTTTTTGAGATTCTTTGTTCTAATTTGGGAAAAGAAGTCATCAACTGCTAACAAATGAGGAACTGACTTTGGGCCAAAGAATACAGCTTTCTGTTTGAACATCTCTCCAGAAAAACTGGTCCTGGGAAAAATCATCTTGAAAGCCTAGAATGTTGAAATTTTAAAGTAGGTCCTTAGAGAATATAAGGAAAATGGATGGCATGCTAAACCAATCTAATAAAAGGAATCTCTTGTTTCTCTTGAGTAACCCAGCTGGTCACATTGTGTGTTGAGCAATGAGTTAATTTAGGGAAGGTAGGAGTTCGAGGTCTGAGTTCTTTATTCTACCTCCCATTCAGTGAACCGTGTGAGGCGTCACTTCCCCTTCTTGCTTTGGCTGCCTACTCTGATCCCACAAAAACTGATGTGAAAGGAGATAGATATATATGTAGTGGTTAAGTATAGACCATGAGCTCAGAAGCCAGACTTACCTGGTTCCCTCTACTAGCTCTGTCTCAGTTTTCTCATCTGTAAAATAGGGACAATAATTGTATTGACTGCATAGGGTTTTTGTAAGGATTAATTAGTTAATGTATGTTAGGTGCCTCAAACAGTGCTGGGCAGAAGGCAAGCACTCAAAGTGTTTCTTATTGGTTTTTTAAATGTGATTATGGGGGGACCTCAGACTTTATGGCTGGCTATAAGTATTTTGCGGAAACACTTTATTAACATTACTGTACTGAATTAATGTTTGGAGTACACAAAGTCAAGGAGACAACTTTCTAAACATTTGTTGTCCTAGTGGAGTATGGGAAACAGAGGGTCAAATGTAAGTTTGTTTAGGGGAGTGGAGAAATTCATTCCATTTTTCTCTTTAAATGTATTAGGCCCTGGCTGGTGTGGCTCAGTTGGTTGAGTATCATCCCATGCTCTGAAAGGTCACCAGTTCGATTCCAGGTCAGGGCATTTACCCAGGTTGCAGGTTCATTCCCCAGTTGGAGTGTATACAAGAGGCAGCTAATCAATGTTTGGCACATACCTAGGTTGCAGGTTCAATCCCCAGTTGGGGTGTATACAGGAGGCAACTAATTGATGTTTCTCTTTATCTCATATCAATTAAAACATATATATTTTTTTAATTTAACTTATTGGTATACATTAAATTCTTTCTGTTATCAAGTTTTTTATTCTTAAAATGCCATGGAGTTAGTGGACAAGCATGGAAAAGCCCAGGCATGTAGTATGGAAGCATTTTGTTACATGAGAAAATTTTGAATTAAATTTTCGTGATACTGTTAGGAAATTAACAAGTAGCAGTGGCCTGATGATACCAGAGTGAAGTGTTTTACAAGGGTAAATCAGTGTGTCCTGGGTATGAAGATGGATTAGGAAAATGAAAGTGAGTTTGGGAAACAGAGCCCGGTGTTTCCATTCCAAGAGCAGTACAAGCGGCAGGGCAATTGGATTTACTAAATTGTAAAGTGACTTGGTAACCCTCAAGGGTTGTCAGCAATTTGTAATGTGGAAAAACAACTGTACTTACTGGAAATCTAGAAACTCTTGAAGTTTGTGACTTGTAGAGCCTATAGTGAGTTTTGAAAGACTTCTTCAAATCACTTACTTTGACCTAGTGAGTTTTCTAATTTCTATAACTTGAATGATTTTTCAGAAACGAGACATTAAGTAGATAATGCCAAGTTTTAGGTACTGTGGCTGAATATCAGTAGAAGTCAGGGTCCAAAGTATCCAAGTCTCTCTTTTTCATTTTACATCTTTCTGAATACTTCCAGATAGATCCTATCAAGTGTCAACTTGTAATTTGAATGTTATCTTAGGGAGGGCCACTGGTTTAAGCAGTATTTATGAACTCTGGCCCCTGCACACACTTCTCAGCTGTTCATTTCCTATGTTTATGGCAAGTTCCAGGCAGAGCCCCCACATCCCTCTGGCCTCAGCTTCTTCCCTTTAGCTATGTGGCCTGCAAAGAAAGAAAAACAAACAAGCAGAACAAAACTTGGTTGATCCTGCCAGTAGCATATGCTTGTGTCAAAGATTAAGCCACGCTTGTCTAAATATGCACAGCTGGTACAGTGAAACTGCACAGAGTTTAAAGTATTAAACTTTAAGGGAGATAGTGCAGTCTAACTGTTCACCAAACAGTAAAGAGGCAAAGATGTCTTCATTCAGGCTGTCATAATTCATTCTTTTCTGTTCTTTCCTTTTCCTCTTCTCACCCCCACAGTGTGTTCTGAAGGATTTACCTATGAATTAGACTGAAGGTTATATATGTGAGCTTCCCGATACAGAAGTTTTTGACACTCATATTAAAATGCACTATTTGTTGCATATGCTGAAGAAACTTACACTTTCTGCATAATTAAAATACCATTCATTGGTATTACCTAAATATTTCCTACATTAGTGGATCCTTCTGACAGTTTCTAGAACCAAAAAAATGTGTTTCTTCCAATAGTGCCGAGGAGTTGGTAAACTGCCTTGGAAGTCGAGGTATTCTTTTTTAAGCACACCTTGCAGAAATCAACAACAACCTGTAGACACTAACTTCACCAAGGCCAATGCCGTCCTCTCTGTTGAATGCCCCTGTCCTGACGGGGCACAGGGAGGGCAGCCGGTGAGCAATGGTGTCAGGCAAAATAAGTTTGAAAAAGAGAAACCGAGAGACCTAAGAATCCAATTCAGAATATTAAGGGACACAAAAAAGTAACTTCAATGAGAGCTAAAAGCTCAAAATAGACAGATACAAGAAACAAACACCAACTTCATAATAATGAAGAAAACTGGCTAGTATAAAATATGAGGTGATAAGTAGAAAATAAAAAGATTTTTAAAATTTCTTTCATTTATTACACAATCATATGCTTTATCTCTTTTCCCTTCTCTTCTGATCCGCCCCCACACCCCATCCCCTAACACACATACTTTCTCCCAAAAGGATGTTCCCCTTCTACAGCTGCTGGAGGACTGGACTACTGCTGCTGCTACTCCTGGCCATCATGGTAAGAGAATCGTGGCAGACAGAAGAAAAAACCTGCGACTTGGTAGGAGAAAAGGGTAGAGAGTCAGAGAGAGAATTGGCTGTACTGAAGATGATGACACCACTGTTTAGCAAAAGGTAAAAATGAGAAGAACCTTAAAGGGCTAGAGAAAGTAACTTTTTTTTTTCACCTAGCCTTTCCAGACAACCTCTAGTATTCCCCCACCCCCACAGATCCCAGCTCCCTGACCTTCAATATTCCCCAGATCTCCAGACCCTGGGACCCCATAGACCCCTGACTCATGATACCCCTGGCCCCCCACAGACCCCCAGTACCCCCAAACCCAAGGGGGCTTACAGAGGGAGGTGGTTGTGACACCAGAAAAAGGCTTTTTTAAAACAGAGTTTTCCAACTCTTACTGATTTTATTTTGGTATTACTTTTGAATATGGGAGTAATACATTTATAATAACTTCCTTTCTATCTTTATCTGGGAGAGCTGGTGCTATCATGCTTTCTTTTGTGATACAGAGAAAATTCTCAGCCCAGTTTTGAATAGCAATGTACAGTTCTCTAATGCAGAAGACTAGCTGTTTCTAAGACTGGATCCAAGAGACCCGCTTGTAGGAATTTAAAAAGCATTATTAGATGCTTTCATATAATGGGACTTAAGTATCAGATAAGCATAGTAAGGCCTATACACATCATCAGAAATGTCAAGAATCTTCGGGTATATAAATCTGAAGATGATCTTTAAGTAACCAAGGGAGTGTCCTATGAACATAGACCCTTATTCACAAGGAAATAATAGCTAACACCAGCATAGTCTAGAGCAGATATCCTAGGAATATCTAGCTGTCTGTGGTAGCATATTTTAATCAGTCATTAACAATTAGGATGGTCTATCAGGGTCATGGATATCTCATGATTCAACAAATATTCACTATTATATTTAGCTGTGACATCAGATAAATAAATTGAATGTACCTTTTTTGGGGTCGGAGGCTGGGTGGGGGTAAAAGGAAGAAAGGCTGTTTTTCCTAAGGCTGATAGCCATTAACTCTCCTCTTCCTTCTTTCTCACTTTCTGACAGCTTTGAGAGCACGGTGGTGGGCCAGGGCCCAGACACTTATGTGTACAAATTCAGGGTGTGCCGAGAAGCTAGCAACCACTCCTCCGGGGCTGGCCTGGTGCAAATCAACAAAAGTAATGGGAAGGAGACCGTGGTGGGGAGACTCAACGAGACTCACATCTTCAATGGAAGTAAGACTCTCCCTGTTGACTGATTAATTGATCCTAAGTCAGTCTCTCAGACAATCCTATATGTCTTTCCCAGTCTCTTCAGAATGTCATGGTATGTGTGGTTCAGCACACCTGAGATTACAAACCATAGGATACCTAGTTCCACAGCTCCCCTGGAGACAAGGCCCAGGGCATTTATGTGTTTGTTTTAAAGTTAGGAAAAGCTTATGCAAAAAAAAAGAATCTAGGTCCTTTTAATACTTAGTGAATTTTTCACGCTAGGCTGGAAATATCAACCACGACCTTTTCTCATCAAATTAATCCAACTTTGCCAGTTAAGTTACAAGAGATCAAGTTTTGCAAACCAGTCAGTCTACAAATATTTCTCTATCAACTTATGATAACGATGATGATAATACTGATATTTCTCAAAAGTCATAAAGTCTTATTGCTGAAAAAGACTTTGAGCATCCATAATCTAATTCCTTCCCTTAAGCAGATAAATAAATTATCCCTCAGTGCTGTTTGCTCCTATAAATAATATAAGTAACATAAAGAACTTGGGGCTGTGGGTCAAAAGACTGGATTTTTAACCCATGTCATATTTACTTTGTCCCGTAATTTTGACAAATCATTTCACCTCTTACTGTTTTCGTGTATGCAGAATTGAAAGCAGAATCCTTACCTTATTAACCTCACATAACTTTTAAATCAAATGATATTTTGCAGAAGAAATTTGAACACAGTAAATACTAGAGAAAAAGAAATGCTTCCCAGTCTTAAAAGTCATCCACTTTGAACTTATCTGTGGCTAATTTAAATCTTGGCCCCCCCATCCCCACCCCCATCCAATAATTATAAGGAACCTCTTCCTTTGATGTTACCAGGTGGTCAGCAAATGTAAATTATTGTTAAGGTATAGATCATAATTGCTTTTGCACTATCAGCTGCTTGCTTTTAATGTGGAAAATTAAGATTCTTATATGAATATCTGATTCTTAATTGTCTAAGCAAGGGAACATAAAGCTGTAGTTAATAAGCCAAGTTTTAGCTTGCCATTTCCAGTATACAGAGCTCATACTGACGAGGTTTATTTTAATTAATACCGATTTGTCTGAATTTCCCAGTGCACTTTACCTTAGTACCCAGGTCTGCCTCTACTTTTCCCCCACCCCCAAAGCTCCATTTTTCTTGTCCTTTCTCAGGTAATTGGATCATGCTGATCTATAAAGGGGGTGATGAATACGACAGCCACTGTGACAAGGAGCAGCGGCGTGCAGTGGTGATGATTTCCTGCAATCGACACACCCTAGCGGTGAGGCGCCCTGGGGCCTATGAGCCTAGAGAGGAGATGGAAGGACTGACCTGAGGTGGGAGAGACTTTCCAGAGGGCACAAGATGCACTGGGATGGATTAGAGAAAACTGGTTAGAAGTTCACATTTTTCCTGTGTTCTAGACACCCATTTTCCAATATACATGACAAATAGGTTATTAAATCAGGAGAAAACAAATGTTTTGGGATTTGGGGGGGCTTTTTTAGATGGATTCAAAAGAAAACATCTTAACCGTGTTCTGTTCTTCCATCATCAGGACAATTTTAACCCTGTGTTTGAGGAGCGCGGTAAAGTCCACGAATGTTTCTACCTCTTTGAGATGGATAGTAGTGTGGCCTGTACCCCAGAAGTCTCCCACCTCGGTGTGGGTTCTATCTTACTTGTTACGTGAGTACTCTTTTTCTCTTAGTCCAAATCGTTTCCTTGTTTTGTTTTGTTTTTATCCTCACCCGAGGATGTGTTTTTCTTGATTTTCAGTGAGAGGATGTGAGAGAGAAACACCGATTGGTTGCCTCCCACATGCTCCCTGACGGGGGAATCAAACCCACAACCCTTCAGTGCACGGAAGGATGGATACTCAGCCAACTGAGCCACACCAGCCAGGGCTTCCCCCCCCCCTTTTTCTTTTTTTAAATTCTCACCCGATGATACTTTTTCATTTATCTTCAGATAGAGTGGGAGCGAGAGAGAAACATCAATTGGTTGCCTCTGCATGACCCTGACCAGGGCGGGGGACCAAACTGCAAATGAGGTACAGGCCCTTGACCAGAATCAAACCTGAGACTCTTTGGTCCACAGGCTGACGCTGTAACCGCTGAGTCAAACCAGCCAGCACTCCCCGTTTTTTTAACTCATAATTTTGTGGATGCATATAGGCAAAAATTGTGTATGTTTGTATGAGAGAGAGAGAGAGAGATAATTGGAGGGGAAGAACTTTGTGTGAAAATTCTCATTAAACTCTGACTATACAAGTTTTTTTTTTTGTTTGTTGTTGTTTTTTATCCTCACCTGAGGACATTTTTCCATTTTTTGTTCAGATAGAGCGGAAGGGAGAGAGAGGAAGAGAGAGAGAGAAACATCGATGCAAAGGGACACATCAAGTGGCTGCCACCCACACGACCAACCAGGGCCGGGGACAAACTACAACTGAGGTACGTGCCCTTAGCGGGAACCGAACCCGGGTCTCTCTGTACCGCAGGCCGACGCTCCAACCGCTGAGCCAAACCGGCCAGGGCTGACTATACAAGTTTTAAAAAATGAGGTTTTGTCCCCAATAAATATTCATATTTGAAGGTGCCTTTTATCCCTACTGGAGGGCTGGACAGTTTTTAAAACTACCCCATTAGATAAGGAATTTTTAACCAGTGTGCCAGGGCCATGAGAATTTGTAAAACATGCAATACCTATTTAGTCAGGGGCACTAACCTCTTTTCCCGCCCTGGCTGGTGTATCTCGGTGGATTGGAGGGTCATCCTGTACACCTAAAGGTCATGGTTCGATTCCTGGTCAGGGCACATACTCAGGTTGTGGGTTCCATCCCCAGTCGGGGTGTGTACAGGAGGCAACTGATTAATGTTTCTCTTTCACATCGATATTTCTCTTTCCTCTTCCTTCCTCCCTGATGACAATTTTAAGAAAAGACAACAGCCAACACAATAGCCCTCTGGTGTGAATGAATCAAAATTACACCTTTTTTGTGTGTGTCAGATGAGCAAATAATATACATTTTGGCGTGCCACAGAACTTTAGTAGTTTTTGTGTGCCATGAGCTGAAAAAGGTCGAAAACCACTGCATTAGATTATTAGAACTTTTGGACAAACAGAATTGTGTATCTAATGGTGACTGTTGGCAGAAGTCAGTCTAATTTTTTTCTGAGCACTTGCTCTTAGACTGACAGCACTCAATTGGTTTTCTAAGGAAGCTTCCAGCCCCTTTTCATTTAACTTCACTACCCTTTTCTCAGTTTCACAGAACAGCTTACAAAACAGCTAACAGTAAGTATCAAGATTATCCTTAGTTACCTGAGTTTTTCTATTTGTTTTTAAGTATAGCTCTTTCTTCGACAGGTTTGCATCACTGGTTGCTGTCTATATCATCGGGGGGTTCTTATACCAGCGACTGGTGGTGGGAGCCAAGGGAATGGAGCAGTTTCCCCACTTAGCCTTCTGGCAGGATGTTGGCAACCTGGTAGCAGTAAGTAACAGGGCAGCTTGGCTGAGCCTGTAGCCCACATGCAAGGTTGAGTGACGAACCATTCTGGTTTGCCCAGACGGAGAGGTTTCCTGAGACACAAGACTTGGGTGCTAAGACCACAAAAAGCCCAGCAAACCAAGACACTTGGCTGCCCTAGTACTAAGTAGCTTAGTGTCTGGCCTTGCTAAGACTTGGCTAGAAGAGCAGCACTGTTGCTTAGATTTAGGAATCTAGTATAGCTTTTCCGGGGCCTAGATAGGACTGTGAGGCGCAATTAGAATTTTTCTGTTCGCCCCAAGTTCAATTCAGGCCAATCCTTGGAGCTTTTGGGGTTCATTATCCCTGGAGAAAACTAGTCCTTACCACATTCTTAGATGATAAATACACTTTGCCTTACCCTAAAGTTGGTTATTCCAAATGATCATTTCCTTTATTTCTTTCCCTACAGGATGGTTGTGACTTTGTGTGCCGCTCTAAACCCCGAAATGTGCCTGCTACGTATCGTGGTGTGGGGGATGATCAGCTGGGGGAGGATTCAGAAGAAAGGGATGACCATTTACTACCAATGTGAATGCACTTTATATGTCCAGCTTCTTCAGTCTCCCAAACCAAAGTGTACTCAGCCAGATTTCTTAAAAGCAGTCTCTACTCCAGCCTCTCATCTCACCCTTACTGTTGCCCTTGCTTCCCAGTTTGCTTTTGGTTTGCATCTTCTCACTAGTAGACATGCCTTCCCTTTGTTCCCTAGTTTTGTTTTTCCCTCTAGAGATACAGTTGTGAGAGATAATGTAATATGGCCTAAGACAAAGGCACTGTCTCTTGGTATAGGAAGGTACATGTAGGAGTTATGAGCAAAAGCATGTGGCAGACTTGCTGACCTTTTTAAACACATTTTCACAAGTTTTTGAGACACTGGAATTCTTTAATTAAAAAAAAAGCAAAGAAATATTATTTATACAAGGTTTGATTGCTTTCATGCTCAGTCTCCATGAGAATCTGCATGTAATTTCTTACTGCTTGGAACTCCTTTGCAGTGAATACTTGGTTGCAGTCCAAGTACAGCCATTTGGTCTGAGCCTGGAGATGTGGTAAACCTGCTTCTCCCACCTCTAGGGTTAGGATGGGGGAAATGTGAAATTCCCCAGTTAGAGGATTATGAGGTACCATCCTATCTTTTTGACATTGGAGTAACTTCGTTGCTGGAACTGGGCCCTGGATTGTAGTATTAGCCGTTATTAGTCCGTATGTAGCCAAAATGCCTCATCCACAAATCCAGTCTGTTAGAAAGGGAAACTGAAAGTGACTTCTGTGCTACAGGGGTTCCAGAAAAGGGAAGTCATTTATCTTGTAGTGGGAGCCCTTTGATGGCTTTTCTCTCTCGCTTTGAGTGAAAGTTGGCAAAGCCTCTCTTACCAGTGTTTCTAAACATGTTGCACTTTCTTCACAGGCATGTCATTTTTTACTTTATTTTCTCTATCTTCTAGAAAGGGAATGGAGGCAGAAGCAGGACATCTGGGGCTCTGCCATCCTCTGCTCTGAGTGTGGGATCCTACTACATCTGTCCCTGCTTCTGGCTCAGGGAAGTATCTTGCCCACCTGTGTGGAGAGATTTTTAATGCTCTTCACCTTTCTATTTAGGCTATGTGCCCAGAAACCTGGCCTGTCTTTAATAGGGAACCTATGCCATTGAACAGGAACATGGCTCCACTGGGCACAAGAGGATGGAATCAATAGGCAGGGGTCTTATATAGCCTTAGAGGAGAAAATGAGAATATTTCACCCTTGGACTTTTAAATACCATTGGAATGAGTTTTTTCTTTCTAAATGGAAAATAATGTTATAAAAACATCTTTTTGTTATTTGTTTGCATCCTTCCCCTACACCGTGGTGTTTTAAAAAAAAGAAAAGAAAAGAAGAAAAAAAACTCATTTTTTTGTACAAAAACACTTGAAAGATTAAAAAAAAAAAAAAACATGTTGGCCTAGTCATTTGTGTGCAAGAGGGTTAAGAGTCTAGAGACTGGACTGGAGTAAAAGACAACTGAGAACAATTTTGATCCTTTTACTGAAGAGGAAAAAAATATTGAATATTTTTGTTGTATAAGGAATAGCACCTAAGGCAGGTATTTATCCTCCTGACCTCAGCCCCACGCACGCCTGTTTTATAAAGCTATGGACACAGCAGAGTTGGAATTGAAAAGAAAAGGTAGAAGACAACAGATAGATTGGAAGGAAGCAGCAGGGATGCAGAAAAAATGACGACAGCCACATGTGTGCCAAACACTTTTGGCCCCTGCAGCAAATCAGAATAATGCCAACCAAGTTTCTACACTGGCTAGTGAGCCTGCCATGAGTGCAAGAGACGATGTTCAACAGTAAGGGAGTGAGTGACAACAAAGAAAACTGGCCACAGACAGTCAGACAATCCAGAGGGAGTACTGGACTTTTTACTGTGTCACACAAGCTAGAGGAACCCTCCCTCTTCCACTGGGGAGGCACACCTACATTCCACCCATGTCCTTGCCTTACCATACTGAATATTCCTCCTCTCGGAGACCTAAGATACTCCACTCCAGGAAAAAGGCTGAGTAGTACTAGATTCTCTAAAGTTCCTTTTACAAAGATTGGATTAGGGTAGGTGAAAATGGTGAGAATTGTAAAGATTTTAAAAAATAAAGTAGAACCCAGAGAAAATGTAAAAGCTCCACCATGTAGCACCAGCAACCAATTCTTGCACTTCCCTGTCTTAGTAATCCCCTCCACAGATTTACATAATTGGAAAAGTTCTTTATTCCCTGTAAAGTCTCTGCTGGTACCAGGTTATAACCTGGACAGTGGGGAGTGTCTGCCTTAGGCTGCTTTGTGCAAGAGGACCACCTTAGGTCTCCTTGAGGACATTGATCTTGGCGCAGATCTTGAGGGCTGGGCCCAGCTTGATGTTCATGGCACTCATAAGATGTTCCTCTTTAAGTAATAAAAGGGCCTGTCCGTCAATCTCCTGGGAACGAAACTCCTCTGCAATCTCTTGACAGCCTAGAAGGAAATGGTGGGAATATGTATGAGAGTACATGGTAGCACCAGAGGATAGGAGAGGGAGATTAGGAGATTTAGCAATGGTTAGTCCTACAGTACATGTCCTAAATTCAGTAATATGAAAGTTTGAAATGACAAGCTTTGGAAGAAAAGGAAATTAGATTGCAACTGGCTATTTAAATGGAAGAACTAAATTCAACCATAGAAATAACCTGATTCAAATAGCTTGAGGGGGAAAAGGATGGAAGCAAAGATAAATACACGTTTTCTTTTACACTGGCAAGAAAGTTAAAATGAGCCTTTGTGATACTTGTTTAGAGCATAGAATTCAGACACATAGCAAGACAGGTAGGGTGATTTTCTTTACTGGAGAAAACCATCCCTTTGTCAAGAACAGCTCATAAAACATTCCTGCTTTGAAAAGAGTGGGGCAACCATGGCCCCTTAGTTTCTAATCCCCATCTTCATTGAAAAAAGTCTATCTGTGGCTGGTATCACAAAAATCATTGGTAAGAAAGATAGCTGAATCATAAGAGATGAAAATCAAACACTGAAATTGCTGACATAAGTGATAATACAGATGGAAATTAGTAAACCAGACTGTGGACAAGTAACTTGAATAAATACCAAGAGTGGAGCCTTCAAGCCTCTACTACTTAAAAGTTAGTAAGTTCCCTGTTACCAAGGCCTGTACAAAGACCTAAGGGAAAAGCATGTATGTGACCTGGCGTCTGTTGGATAGGCCCTTAGTACCTTGTAGAGAAGCGATAAACTCATACACCTCCTCTACACTCCAACGGCTAGGATTACTGGACAGGAACATGGGGTTGATGCCATGTAACTCTGGTGTAGGCGGAGCTGTATTGGGGTTCCCCAGGTCTCGTTCTCCATGCCCAGCTCTCACTGATAAAGGCCCAGGAGATGTTGGAGAGAGTGCTTCATCGTAACTAGAATTATCTGAACCCCGGCTAGAATCTTCTTGACCCTATAAAGAAAATTGAAACACAGTGAGGTCATGGTTTCCTGTCCCCTCCCCAACCACACTGGGTTTAGGTTAATATTGGGCATGGAGGAAAAACAAATCTTACAAGTAAAACAATTTGTACTTCATTTACAAATGTCCAAAGTCACCAGACTACCCTAAAGTGCCTTTCAAGTATAAACTATCACTCTTGATACTCCCCTTCTACCAATGACTGTTCTTAATTTTTGCTACTCAAATATAATGTAAGGATTAATGGATACATGAACCAGTAATCAGAGGAGAAGAGACAAAAAACAAGTCAGGATCTTAGAATTTGAAACAATGCAATCATGCCCTGGCCGGTTTGGCTCAGCGGTTAGAGCGTCAGCCTGCGGTCCAGAGAGACCCGGGTTCGGTTTCCGCTAAGGGCATGTACTTCGGTTGCGGTTTGTCCCCGGCCCTGGTTGGGTCGTGTGGGTGGCAACCACTCGATGTGTCCCTTTCACGTCGATGTTTATCTCTCTCTCTCCTTCCCACTCTATCTGAACAAAATATCAAAAAAAAAATGTCCTCGGGTGAGGATAAAAAAAAAAAAAGAAACAATGCAATCAGAGCAAAACCAGAGCTCTGGTCTCATGCCCTTCAGGCCCATTTTAAAGGTAGCTGGCTCTGGGACAGCAGCTCACCCGGTGGCGCTTGCCCTGGATCTTGGCACGGGCGATGTCAGAGGAGCTGCGGCGGGGTCCACGCCGGCGAACACGAGCGTAGTTGGCTTCTTGAAACTCTTTCATTTTTTTCCTCTTCAGCCGGAACTGGTGGCTACAGCTCACATTATACCTACAGGTCAGGCATATTGCAGGAGATCAAAGGTGCTACAGAAAACGACCTGGCTACCTTAGACTAAAGGGGAATTGGTATTTAAAGAGCTGATTTGGGGGAAGACTATGAAAGCAAAGAAGGAGACATTAAATATCAGCTGTGAGATGATCCTAAGGAAGGGATGTAGTGTTAGATGCATCAACCACTGCTGAAGGCGAGGGGGGTGCCTCCAGTACCTCTTAGCACAAGTCATGGAGCAGAATCTCTTGGAGCCGCGAAACTGGTCTGCAGGGGCGTACTTCCCACAGTATTCACATTTCAGGAGGTTTGCCTTCTTATCTAGCTCTGGAAAACAAGGCACCCCTATCAGTTTCTGCTGCCGCTCAAACCATCATTAGGTCCAGAGTTGGATTCTAATAATTCAGGGTTTGCGCCCAAAAACCTACACCACCTAATTGAGAATCTCTAAAATATAAAGTTCAAATTCCAAAACCATAAAGGCATGTTCATCACAGTCTTCCTAACATTAAGCCAGACTATTTTCATTTTCCATTTTGATGACTAATTTTATCCCAATTCATCCTCTCAGATTTCAGAAAAGACTGCATTTCTGAACAGGAGAGAGGAACTCATTACTAATGCCCAGAAATGTATCCCTCTCCCACAAAGTTTCCAAAAGCAGAGGGAAAATGTAAATCAGAGTCTTTAATATAGATTATAAAATCTAAGGAGAACTGGAAATTAAGAAATATCTTATTTCAGGTTGTCTTTTGAAAAAAATATATCCTTATAGTAAATAACATCTTACTTTAGCCTGATAAAATTCCCCCTAATACTGTGTGATTCTACACACTGTTATATATGACATAGTGTCTGTCTGGACTTCATATAATTCCTACTTTAAATTGGCAATTACTATTTTATACTGAGTCCTCAAACACATCTGCATGAGCCTCCTTCCCCAGATGGGTCTCTAAATCAGTACTTACCAGCAGATGGGCTGTCCCCTCCCAAGGGGCCACATGACTGGTTCTCATTCAGCCCTGTCAGGAGGCCAGTCTGCAGTGGCTTCTCAGACTCTTTCAGTAACTGAGAACAACCCACCTGTCCCAGAGAAAGTTTACAGTTAAGTCAGCCTAATTCCTTTCTGTATCACCATAGCTTTCCCCAGCATTTCTCAGCATCAGGTCTGCCTAGATTTCTGAGTTAATGGTCAAGTCTGGTTCAGAAAGAATAGTTTTCAATGTGGTAGTCAAGAGTCTC